ATGCAGCTCCTGGAAAAAAAATGTTTTAAAGGATACAATTTTCATTTGGAGATTTGAGCATCCTCTTCAGAAGATTGTTAATCAACAGAGGCTATGTTCACACTGCAGGCTTTAATGCCCAATTCAGATTTTTTTTTTTTTGTGAAATCTGATTTTTTATTTTTATTTATTTATTTTTTTTGCGCTGTCTCACATTTCCAAATATAGAGAATTTCCAAATGTAGAGGACGCAATGACATCATGGTAACGTTTTCTTTTACAGTACATCACTAACCATGTAATAACATGATAGTAACACACCAAGTCACACTACATTACTTGGTACAAAAAAATATTTGGTAATTACCCCAAAATGAAGGTATATAATTTCAAAGTAATTACCTGCATGTATTTATTACAATTGTATGTTACTATGTAACAATGGAGACATTTGGAGGGTAATTACTATTGGGTCACCACATAACAGTTTCTATTATTGGCCACCACCTACCAACGACTTACAAAGTAAATTGTAACTAAATTGTAACTAGAGCATTATAAAACTCAACTTAAGTTACATTTAAATACGAGTTTAGTATAAAAAAAGATTGGCTTAGAAAGCAGCTGGTCTGTGTTTAAAATAAAACAAATCTCCATTATCTTATCTAACGGTCTCATCTTTAGAGCATAATTACTCATTCCTTTGGCAGATCATCTTAGTTACCTGTTCAAATTCTTTAGCTGTGTGTGTATTCAGTACAGGAGCTTTAGAAGAGATCAGGAACAGTTCAGCATGGTTCCTTCCCCCTGTTTGGAACCCCTCATGCTCTACAGTCCTCCCTTTGCAAACAAAGCTGATGTAGCTCTATCTTTAAAGCCACTTTACTCCCAAGCACTTAATCACATCAAGACTTTGATTTTAATATTTAAAGAAAAGGAAATTGTAGGTCAGATGAAGGTCCCAAAAACTAGTGGTTCTAATGTGGAGCCAAAAATTGTAACTGTTAAAATAAATTCTTTCATAAATCAGTTATTTTTATTCCAAACGTAAAGATTTCTTGTAACATTTAAAAGTGTCGTTAAGGAACAATTTACTAGGCCTACTGATTAAAAATAATGGAAATACATTTTTTAGCTTTTCTTCTTCATATTTGGTCCCACACTGGGGAAATTTTGTCCTCTGTATTTAGCCCATCTGTCTGGAAGCGGTGGGCTGCCACACTGACTAACACGCTGGAGTTAGTGTTTTGTTCAGGGACTCAGAATGACAGTCTGAGGCTCTAATGAGAGATCTTTATAGCCTCTTTAGAGCACAAACACCATGCACTCCAACCACTAGCCCCCACCACTCTTGCATTTAAGATTAATCGGCTATATATCATTACCTCATGCAGCAGGTTGCACTGTGTTCTAATCATTTAGAAGAGTGGGCCCCCAAACAAAGGCGACATGGATCCCTACAGCCATCCATGGTAGAGCCCCTGCAGAGAATAAATAGAAGAAGGTTCAAAGATTTGAGCTGTCAGTTTTTTGCAAACAGGTTTTTTATTTTATTTTCATCTGTCAGATCACCTCGAAACTCAATCCGACCAGCAAATAGGAAAGGATTCCATTGGATGACAACATTGATTCTGAAATAGAGGGCTGAACAGAAACAAAATTGAAAACCATGTTAAAGATTAATATAATTACATTTTATTCTACATTTAGGCACAGTTTAACTTTCAATAGTTTACGCAAATATTAAAGTAAGAGAACCAACAATTTAGACAAGAATTCTGCATTTTCATAAAAGTCAGAATTTATTTATTAGCGAATGAGCTTCCATAAATTTCCCCAAACAACTGTTTGTCATTGTTCTGACTTCTACAGATGCTTTCTGTACAACGTAATTGTACATAGCTCAATAGTATTATAAGTTAACAAAAGCCCTTATTATTTCCCTTTGTGATGCACCTGAGACAACAGCAAGTGTTGGCTTGATATGTAAAACTCTTCATATACGTTTCTTCTATCTTGTTTCTATTGAACAAGAAACATTTATGTATAAAACATATTCCCAATGCACTATTACGATGCTAAGTGCTACAAGCTAACCACGAGGAGCGTCATGTGAAGGTCACATTGCCCGTCAACACAAGTCGAGAAAGACCGAGTGCAGAAACCATCATGGAAAGGTGTGCTAGAACCAAAACTTAACTTACCTTGATTAACAAAATTAATCTGAAAGTCCATACTGGCTTTAACACAGCAATCGGCACAAATTTTTTAACGTTTATAGTAGGGCACTTATTACACGTATAACGTGTTGCACCCACTACGGATGTACTGCGCACATGCGCGCCAGTGTTACACCTTCTACGCATATGCGCAATACATGCGTATAATGTTCTTGCTCTTTCAGCTCTTTTACGAAGTGGGGTAAAAAAAAGATTGGTCATGTCTATCAAATAAAGTCAATAGTTTTAAATTATATTGAGAAAAAGTTAAACAAAAAAAAAGTGGGAACCCATAAGTTTAATAGGAATTTGGAAGAGTGTTTGTGTTAAGGACTGAACGAAAGCAAAAGGGATATAAGTTTTACTTCCTCCCTTTCTGAGGCATAACCCAGTATCGGGGTATTGCAGGCTAACAAGAAACTCCAAACAATTTCCCATTCCTAAAGGGCAGACCCGTTCTTTTAGTTAAATTTGCATGTTTTCTAAATAAAAACAAGTTTTTGGGCCACTGCATAAAGCTTCTAACTCAACGCTAATTCTGACATTTTTAATTGAGAAAGCTTTCTGGATGGGAAGCAAAACGTCTTCAAACTTAAAA